GTGACGTGACACTGGAGGCGTCCCGGGAGAACAGCAAGCCTCGGGCGATCCTGAAACCGCGCAAGGTGTGTGTGGGCGGAAAGCGTCGCAAAGATGAAATCAGTGTGGACAGTCTGGACTTTAGCAAGAAAATTCTCCACACTGCCTGGCATCCTTCCGAGAACATCATCGCCGTGGCAGCCACCAATAACCTTTACATATTCCAGGATAAGGTCAACTAGCACAACTGTACCACCTCCCCACGTACCTGAAAAGAGAGAGAAAGAGGAACAAAATGCTGCAGCTCAGCAGGATATTGCAAGGCGTCTTTTGTGATGAGAAACAGGAAGTTGCCCATGATGTAGGGAGAAGTATGGCCAGCTAATGCTGGCCATGTGCAAGGCAGCTGCCAGACTTTCAAAAACAAGAAGTATCCTGCCCTGCACAATCATTCTTCCTCTATTAAGTACCTGCATTTCCTCTTCCGTAAACTTGTTTATTTATCATATTTATTAATTTCTCTGCTGGAAGGAAATGCCTGACTCTTTAAATCTGGACAAATGGGCATTTTCATCGCAATGATATGATGAATCTTTAATAAGGCCGAAACGAACAGTGAAAAAGACAGGCCTTTGCTCACATCCTGGCATCAGAAACAAAGGGGTGCCTTTACAAAAAAACAATGGATTTTCATTCTCTTTGAAACACAATGCCCTCCAGTTTCCTCTGAAATGTCTGACAGATCCGTAATAGACTAAGAATGTGATCTGCGCTGATTGTAGTGTTGAAACAAACAACCTGCGGATGGAATCACAGTCCCTTGAAACCTGATTATTCCTCTTGAAAGGAGCTCTGAAGTAAAAGTCAATCCCATTGGTCATGTTTTGTCATTTAATGTTGTCATCTTATTTTGATGTAACCTTTAATAAGCTGTGGTGCCTTCTTTTCGTATGTGGGTACTTGGGTGGCAGACAGGGATGGAGGGTTGGTGGGATTTCGGAAGGGTGGTATTTGGGTTGTGAAGTGTGAATGTTTTTACAAGAAATGTGAAAAATAGCTTTGCGTAAGAAGGGAAAAGAACATGGATTTTCAGTACACAGAATTGAAGTACTTGAATTTTGCATTATAGTCTCCACTTTATCTCAGTATGCTCATAACTTTACAGTAAACCCGTTTGTTTTTTTTTATTCTTCAGTGCCATGGCTGGGTGAAAAGTATTATTGCATGCAACATGTCATCTATAATGAGCCAATGAAGAAAATACCTGTTGCGTACCATCAAATGAACCTGTAACAATCAGATGTCATCTTTTCCATTGTTTCCGCTGCATTTGTCTGAGACTGTTAAAACGTCATCGTTCAGTTGCGTCACTTTGGCCTGAGGATGACAGGAACACCGGTATCATGATATAGCCTATACATGATGTGAAGGTTAAATGATATCAGGGAATTTTATTATGTACAAATGAACCAGTAATGTTCTCTTCTGAAGAAAAAAAAAAACTTCAGTTGTAAACTTCTTAATGAAACAAAGTTTTATAGCTCAGAATGTATCTACATGCAATTATTTGCCATGCAGTCTTTATGCTTAATGGAATTCGTTGAAAATAAAACGAAAAAAAACGAAAAAGAGGTTGACAAAATTGATCTTTCTTGCTCTTCTTTTCACTACACGTAAATTAAACAATGGCGCCATCGTGTGACAGTTCAAGAGACAGACATACTGTCTATATCACCTTTTCATACAAATTCAAAGAATTATTAAACTGCTGTAATTTCCTCACCCACGTTGTTCCAACCCCATATGATTATCTTTCCTTTGCAGAGCTCAAAAGGAGATATTTTTTTATATGATTTTAAGATTTTGAGTCAATTACACAAATTCTTGTTTTAAATTATAATAATTCTCTAAATTCTATCTTCCTATATTTAAATTTCAGTATCATATTTTTGCTTAGCTGTTGGATAAAAAGCGGACAAAATAAGACCACGCTAGTATGAATTCACACAAGAGTAAATTCAATTTAAAATGTTATTAAAATAACTCAACAAATAATCAAATAAATCGAAGTAAAATAAAGATATACATTCACATACGCTCATAGTGTGACAACATGCCCCATTAATGGGACAACAACAACAACATATAAACCATGTTTTTCCTGGGTGGCAATGTTCAATCATTTTTGTGCCTTGTTCTTAAATAAAGGCTTTTATACCTCACTTTAAAATTTAAAACAAGCCTATTATAAGAATAACTCAAGTAAAACTATCCCATTCTCTCCATTTGGATATGAATATATATGATATGGCAAACATTATAAAAGGTGCTAATACTTATGAAGTCTTACCAGAACTTTAGATGTGTCAAAGTAGGCTATTTCAGTTCAAGGAAGGAAAGTCTTTGCTACTGAGGTAAAATATCTCATCAAAATTCATTCACATTCCTACAACTTCATATTTCCATTTGCAATCATTTAGCCTTGGCTTTGTCTTCCGCAGGAAATTTAAAAAAATCCATAATTTCCAGTGACAATAGAAGCAGGTGACCGTGACAACATCTTTGTTGATCCTGGAACAGCGTTCCAATTAACCAATCAGAATTGAGGGATAAGCTTTCAGGAAATATCCGTTTTAGGCTTAAGATCAGGGTTAGGTGACAAATGAGCTATCATTTCACACTGATTTTAGGAATAAATTCTGAGTAGGGTTAGGTTTAGGGGTAGGGATTGGGTTTAGTCTATATTTTTGGACAGTAATGTTGATCCAGGAACATGTCTTACTTGGCAAAATCACGGCGACTATAGAAGCAATAAGTTTTTACACGGTGTGTAGCAGTCAGTGCTTGTTATTACCCGAAATCGTTTTAATTGGCCTCGGGAGGATCGCGACAGGCGAAACGCTGTCTGTCAGTCAGCTGGGGACGGCACCTGTCAATCAAAACGTCCGTTATAAAGTCGCTCCGCTTTCGCGCCATCCAGTCAAAAGCGGGAAGAGAGCGCGGGGACTTGTCAGTTCACAAGCGCGCGGAGTTTATTCGCGTATCGACGCGGTTTTGAGAATTTCTTTCCGTCTGCACACACTGGCAAATTTATCTCCAATTACCAATCTATTACAGTGGAAATGGATAAATTACCTGCTATGAACATCAGCGCCGGGAACAGTTCAGTAGATAGACGCTCATTTCTGGAGAGAAGTGGATATCAGCACCTGGAGCACGGAGAGCTGAGGGTTTTGATTCCAGTGGTGCTGGGAGTCATCTGCGTCCTGGGTTTCACCGGGAATGTAACGGCTATGGGAGTCCTGATCACCAACGCGCGTAAAAGTAAGCTGTCGTTGATCAACGCGCTCATCCTCAACCTCATGCTAGCTGATGGTCTGGTCCTGGCATTTGCTGTTCCCTTCAAAGCCACTGCTTATTCCCGTGCCAGCTGGACCCTGGGATTGTTTGTCTGTAAGACCTGTGACTGGTTCTTGCACTCCTGTATGGCTGCAAAGAGCTTTACCGTGGCCATAATGGCAAAAGCTTGCTACAGGTACGTCAGTAACCCCACCAAGCAGGTGAGCATCCGTTTGAAGACTATCCTGGTGGTCCTGCTCTTTTCTTGGCTCTTGGCTTGCGTGGTCCCCATTCCCCAGTGGCTTTTCTCCACCCTCCAAAGAGAAGCAACTGGAATGATTTGTGTTCAGACAGTGCCAGACAATGCCCACGATTTCATGTCCGTGTATGTCAAGGCATACCCTCTTCTGGTCTACTGCACACCTTTGAGTTTTGCCCTACTTTATTTCTGGAAGGCGTATAGACGATGCCAGCGCAGGTCCAGCAAGACCCAGAACCTGCGGATGCAGATCCGATCCCGCAAACTCACCCTGATGCTGTTCAGCCTGACAGTGGCCATGGCCACCATGTGGCTCCCGCAATGGGTGTCCTGGGTTTGGATGCGGCACGCGCTAGAGACCGATGGTGCCTTCCCTCCGGTCCTCTTCACTCTCTCCGCCCAGCTCCTCATGTTCTCCATCTCTCTAGTCAACCCTCTCATCATTCTCGCCCTCTCCGAGGAGTTCAGGGAGGGCTACATTGGCTTGTGGCGAAGGCTCACCCTCCGCAAACAACTGCCAAAACAACACAAGCCAGGACCACACACCCCGACTGCCCCAAAGTCACCCACCCCAAGACCAGAAACATCAGCCCACCTCCCTCCACACCGGCCTGGGCGAACAGAGGAGCAAAAGCCTGAGAAGCAACCGGACCAGAGTGGAGGACAGCAGGAGAGCCCGACCAACAAAGATGGAATAGTACTGCAAGATGTAGAGCAGTTCTGGCAGGAGAGGGAGACTGGCTCCCAGTCACACGAAAATGATCCTGTGCCCTGGGAAAATTAGGATCCCAAGGAAGGAAAACTGTAAGAAAGTGAGAATCCCTCTTCTTTTAAATGTTTTCAACACAAAAGAACAAAAAAACCACATACAACAGATCAGACCTCACCTGAACTTGGCTCCCTTATTGTGACTAATCATAATTGTTATGTTTGTGTTTAACTCTTAAGATAAAAGTGATAAAACTGTCTTGATATATTTTATGAGCATATGGAAATGACTGTATTACTTGTATTGTATTATGTTGTTAAAAAAAGTTATGTATTATATATTAAAACGGGTAGCAATATCACTAAAGTGTGGTGATGTCTTGTGCGCACAGGTCCACCAAGACAATAAAAATGCCGAAAAGCTGTGGATAGCTCTCTCCTGCCTATGGTATTGTTCAAAATAGATGTTGAAATCTTACTTTTATGGATATCTGCAATTTACCCCTTTTTATTATGAGAGAATTTACACAATAAGATGGAAATGAAAATGTCTACTGAATGAATATGCTATAAAGAAAGTATTTAGGGAATTAATTTGTGTAAAATAAATTTATATATTACCTACAGAGGAGTTGTGTTCTTTTTGTGGTCTGCTTTGAGCTGTTATACACTTATTTCACACACCTGCAAAATCCAGCCACAGAAGTTTAAAAAAAAATGCTTTTATTCAACATCAGCTGTACATAAAGCAAGTCCAAAAAACCAATATCTTTTTTTAAGAAACATCTGAACAATTAAATTAAACTAAGACCAGTTGACATGGCCAACTGCCAGTGCTCATCTGGTCAGTTGTAACACACTAAACAAACTAATGAATACATATTTTCCATATATATTCATCTAGAAACATCTTACATGTTAACCCAACAGTCAGTTAAAATTACATATACACAGAGAGGCTTTCATAATTCTTGAATATCCCTGTGGGTGACTAAAGTCACCAAAAAATGTTCACAAAATTGGGAGGTTCTCCCAATTTCAGCAAATCAGTTTCTTAACAGTTTGGAGCAAAAGACTGGATGTGTGAAACGGAACTGATGTTTGCAATTTGAGACTGTAGCAGGGGGCTGGAGGAAAAAAAAGGGTTGATATGCACCAGGTGGTCATACCTCCCTATGCAATCACCAATTGAGCATCTAATGTGGCTTTATCCCTTGAATGGACGGATAAAGAGTTTGTGTAAGAACATGAAAACATTGTGGCTCCTTGTGGAGAGGACCTAGAAAGGCATCATATAAAAACCCTTCCAGTTGGTCCAAATACTTAGTCTGTGTCTTATGCTTAGCTGAATTGATTGGTCATTATCTCATGATGTTCTCTGTGGCATGAGCTAGGGGCAAGTGGGTATGTACCATTCACTTTAAAAGGTTTGACAAGTAGAACCTTTGAACTGGAGTGATTTACCGTTTCTGCGAGTCTATAATGTGAACGGCGGTAGTGTGCCCCCAAGGAGTGGGAAAAAATAACTGGGAGGTGTGTGTTATCATTTAGTGGAGCGTCGAGCAGGTTCAAAGGCAGTGGGAGGAGGAGGTGGTCCCCTGCGGTCCAGCTCCTCCACATACGCCATGAGGAGTTTGTGCCTCTCTTCTGACATACAGTCCAGTACAAGGAACCTTTTATCCTTTTGCAAGATCTGCTCTATGTCAGACAAGTGCTGCTCTGACTCCTGCATCAACTTACGTGATCTGGAGACACACAAAAAAAGGACATGCAATGAGTCAGAAGAACTATAACCCTTTTTTACAAACTTTTTATGCGAGTTATATCTAGTCATGATTACCATTGATTTGAACAAATCTCTAACCCTCAGTTAAATGAAATAAGACATAACTCTAATCATTTAGCTTGTTGACTTAATACAGTTTTAGATGATGGGGGGTAAAAACATCCCATACAGTAAGGATAAACCTGAGCCACAAACAGAATATCAAAGACATGCTCTTTTGGCCTAGCAGCCAGCCACCCAGTAAATCATAGCAACTGCATAGCTTCCAGCAAAAACACTTCCACATCACCTTAATTAACATCAAGAGGAATTACTTTTGGGCAGGCAACTTCATTTACATTTTGACTAACATTTTCTTCAGAAAATGTAAAAACGTAGCTCTATTTATTCACAAAATGGCATTATTGCATGAAAATACTATGATAATGTAATTACAATATTTAATAGGCCAATTGTTACAGTTTTTATATTTACCGTTTCTCTTACTACATAATTGCATTTATATAGGGTAAAATTAGAATCTGTAATTTTATAAATCACAGATTTGAAGCTTCTCACTTGTAGGTGATGAACTTGGTCTCTTTCAGAAGAGTTCGGAAGTCTGCTTTGGCTGTGATGTACTTGTCTTTGATGTAATCACCGAACTCCCTCTGTCTTTTCTACGGTGAAAAGGTGAAGAGCAGGAACAAAGACTTAGCTTTAACAAAGACATAACTTTTTGACTAGAGGAGTACAACACATACTTGTTTTTTAAAAATTGATCAAGAGGCAAAGACGCCTTACTCTGTCACTGCTGGAAAACTTGATGCATCTTGGATCTTCTTTAATGAGTTTCTTCACTTCCTTCCACGATGTCATCAAATTGATCTGATGTAGAGGAAGAATTTGAGTCAGATTAACAGCAGATTAACAGACAACAAAGTTAATGGCATCAGGGCACTATGTACCGAGATCGTCTCGTCCAGAAGTTGTCGAAATTGCTCCTTTTTCTTCTTTGCGAGGACCTCGACGTGCTCGTTAAAAAGCCTCTCTTTCTCATCCCTCTCCAGCAGTGAGGATGACTCCCAGCGGTGATCCTTCCTCAGGATCCGACGCGTCTCCGACCAGTTTGCATCAGGCGTCTTCACCTGTCACATGCAGAAAACAATTTTCAATGTCAATTTTTCATTGTTTGATTTAAGATTAAGGTTCAAGACTGATATATTCAATCTGGCATCATGATATGAAGCCATACTTGAACAATGTCTATTACCATATCAGACAAGAGTGCTTTCAAATTCTGGATGGCCTCCTCCCTCTTGTGCTGTTCTCTCTCACGGTCAATCTCTTTGGTCTGCTCCGAGCGGAATCTCTGCACCATGCGCTCTCTTTCTCTCAGACTGGCCTCTACCCGGGCCTGTTTCTCTAGCTCCTTTTCTTTCTCAGAGTTTGGATTCTGGAGGGGTATCAATATCAAGGACCAGGAAAAGCTAAGTAGTCTATACATGTTTGTCTTTACATATGTCTTTTATCCATTCTGTAAAAGTATTTATCATCTAAACATTTTCATGCATTTCTCAATGATTTTCTCACTTGTTGGCCTGGCATCAAAGCATGGTGTAAAGTGAAGCAGCTGCACTAACCTTGGCAAGACGATCCACATAGTTTTTAAAGAGTTCCTCTCGAGCTGCAGAGGTTTCCACAGCCTTGTAGCGAGGGTCAGTCTCCATCTTTTCCTTCACTTTGCTCCAGCGCTGCTGACCATCCACATGGTAATCTGACAGGAGCTCAAAAAAGTCTTGCTTGACCTTAAAGAAAACAACAGAAACATAAATCTATAGGGTATTGGTTCTTAATGGTTAAAGTTCAAGAGATAAAAAGTTGTTAGGGTTGCAGTTTCAACCCCCAAAAAAGGCAATCCATTAAGTATCACCAGTGTGCTACTGTCACCAAATAATGTGTAGTTGCTCAAATAAAGAGCTAATTTCTTCAAAATGACTCCAAATGCAAGTCAAAAAAGTGTATTGAGGTAGAGTGATACAGGGGTTGGAGACATGACATGTTCACAGCACATATAAGTGCAGGGATGCAGGTTCGAATATAGCCTGTGTAGATCTAGGCTCGTAGGTAAAAGGAAGGAGGTTCAAATACCTATGGGATGACACCACTATTGCACCTAAGAGCAAGGCAAGTCAAATGATTATTTACTTAGATCGTTGGATTCTGTGAAAATGTTTCTTCACTTACATTTACATTTATTCATTTGGCAGACGCTTTTATCCAAAGTGACTTACAGTTGAGGAATACAACAAGCGATTTTTCATAAGATGGCAATAAACACGAGAAGTGCCCATAATACAAGGTTTCAGCCTTCATTGAAAATAGTAAAAGCTAGGACAGGAAGGGATAAACGATAATAATAGAATAGAAAAAAGTGAAGGTCTATAATTTGTTTTTGTTTTGCAGGATGCAATTAGATGAACAGATCACTTCTGAACTATACATTTACAGTAACATATGTCCAAAGCCAGTGGTTAATGAGTCTACTGCTGCCACCGGCCATTGCAACAATTAAAAAATGTGACTAAAACACCTGATCGTTGTTAATGCGGTTTGATTATCATGAAATTAGACGGGCATCCTCTGGTGAACCCCACCTGGTGAACACTCCCTTCTAACCTATGGCCCCCCCACACAGGTGACATTTCCCTGGCATTAATGTTTGATGGCTGACCTTTAGCTGCCAAAGGCAATCAGCCGAGACGTTCTGCACTTAACCCTAGCCACAGAGACAGCGAGTGTGTGGACCAAACGCCAGGGCAGATTACAGCTCATGAACAACTAACAGACAGTCAGTCTCTTGGTCTCAGTCTGCGCGTGTATTCGGCTGTGAACATGCAGTGTACTACATGACAATGAATGTTTTTAAAAAAAAAAGTTACCACAAGATATCCAATGTATAACAATGTCTGGGTAGGGGGTCCTGGTTCTTCTATGTGCACCTATTGAGCACTTGCTTCTATTGTATTAAATGTCAGTTAAATAACAAGCACCACTTCCGAAAGTTTAATAGGACTGACATCTCAGCAGTTGTGTAAACTTCACTTCCTCACCTTCTCCCCACGATTCTTTGAGTTCTCTTTCTCCTTCTTTCTGAAGGCCATCATATATTCATTAAAAATTACTTCTCGGTCTTTCATCTTTTCAACGGCCTTAAAGCGTGAATCCTTGGCGTGTTTGGAAGCAAACTCACTGAATGTTGTTCTGTGAAGACAACAAAGTCCTTGTTAGATTATGCATTTAGCATATTACATTCATTGCAATGCAATGATGGGTTCCTCTCAAAGTATTTTCTCTCCTCTACCTAAACATCTTATACAGTTTTTTTTTTTTTCTTTACTCACAGAGGGATTTAAGTAAAGATATTATTTTTTTTTCCCCCAAATTTTTCCAAGTTGCTTTGAAATATCATAGCTTGTGAGAAGAACTACAGAAATAAAAATGACTTCACTTCAATGGGGTGGTAACTGAGACCTTATCAGGTTATCATTGAATTAGGGATGCCAATCAGTTAATCATCAAATATTTAAATTACTGTTCAAAATTTTGCGGTCAGCAAGATTTCTTTTAAAAAACATTATACTGTTATTGCAGACAAAAACATTAAATAAACAAAAAGAAACTTACAGGTTGTTCACACAGTGTTCTTGCTATTTTTTAATTGTTTGTCTAAGTCAGCATGCAGATGGACGGCCATTGAACTGCACATTTTAAAGATGCTGTGCAAAGCCCAACATTTTAAAATAGATTATAGTTTCATAACCTACTTGGCTTATTTCTGATAAACACCTTTAAAATGAAACCAGCACAAAAGTAAGTGAACACCAGTATTAAAGGGGTCATATGATGCGATTTCAATTTTTCCTTTTTCTTTGGAGTGTCACAAGCTCTTGGTGCATAAAGAAGATCTGTAAAGTTGCGAAGACTAAAGTCTCAAATCCAAAGAGATATTCTTTATAAAAGTTCAGAGTCAGCCACACCTACCTAAAAGCTTGTTCTAACACACCCCCACATATCTACCTCACTATGTGGGAAAATTTGCATAACGCTGCCCAAATGTTCACGCAAAGAAAGAAGGCGTAACTTTTAGTCTCACTGTAATTTTGTTGACGCTGCAGCCATGTCGTGAAGGAGCTGTGTGCTTCGTTGTGAAAGCGAAACTACTTTGTTTGGTCTTCCAAAAGAGGACGATATCCGATTCGTCATGCCTAGAGCTGATCCGTGCTGGTCACTGAGGAAATACAACAACTTTCACCGTGGACAAACTGGAGTCCAGCCCGGGGTCGTCACACGTGATTGCCGCTCATTCGTCGCATCCGCCAGGCGTGCCGTTCTCGACCCCGCCGCCTCAGCTCACTCTATCCCGGCCTCAGCTCAC